TAAAATAAGCTTTACAGTGCGAATAGTACAGTGTTGTTGTAGCTTGGTATGGCCTTCTAGAAGATAGATAGGTTTGCAAATTGTTACTTTCATTCAATGATTTTGAGTGACAAAAAGTTTACAAAAAGCGTGACAGACAGGATGCAGAGCCACTTTAATTTAGAAAAAAGCTCTCTGGCTTTTCTCATTAATCACCTTTACCAAGGTATATCAACCAACCTTCCCCTCCTCCACCCAATCCTCCCACCCTCCCAAAAAAAAAATATGTTGAGGCAGTTAATAATCAGCATCTATCCCCTTGTCTGTACTCATAGTTATGTCACTGCATGTTAGGGTGACACTAAATAGAAAGCAGAATACTGGGTATACACAATTTCCATCCTGTTATGAATCCCCACATCAGCATGGTCACTAGTAAGGTAATAAGCCCCTATCTTGATTTAAATGACCTTTAGTATCCTTCTGACCTGGAAGCAAAAGTATGACAAGGATCTCACTTAAATGTTTTGTATAAAATACAGTATTTCAAATAAAATAAAAATTAATTAAATATTAATTTGCAGGGTTTGTACGCGTCCTTAAATTACTTGAATGTACTGGAAAAACAAATGAGCATTTTCCAGTACTGGAAAGTCCTGGAAATTTATGATTGTCCTTGGATGCCCTGGAAATTTGATCATTTACCATTTATACAGTACTGCAGGTTGCCTAGTAACAGTAAAAAAATAAGAAACGTTCCCACGATACTCTTGTGAGAAGCAGGTCAAGTCTTTGTACGCTGCCAATGTTATCGAAGAATGTCAAATGCTGAAAGTGGCCCACTGGCTGGCAGTGGTTCAGACAAACTTGTGCGATTCAGTGAATCAAGATGTTCACCTACCCTGTATACTTCAGTAAAGTGGTGCTTTAATTGTTATTCTTTTATATTAATTATGTTTGTATGTAATTTTAATTCAGACAATGATAATAATAAACTTTGTTGATATCTGCTATGTGTTGTGTGTTATAAACTGTAATATTAAACTTCAACTCAGTTCAACAGGTCTTGTCGCTCGTGCTCAGCCCTGTGTATTCCCTTTAGGTATTTCATCACTCTCCAGATGTGTACACTTTTTTTGAACGAATAGATACAGTATGTTTGGGCCTATCCGGTGCAAGGCATTTAATTAACAATTAAAGTAACCATGGGTACGTGTACTTCTACAGTTATTTTCTTACACTGAATGGCGTTTGTGTTTAAAGGGCCTTTACATTTAAAAATCCTTGATTTTATAGCGAGGTGTCAGGGGCAGATCCAGCGAGGGGTCATGAGGGTGCCAAATTTGAGAGGAAGAGCTAAAAAATTAGTGTACCCATGAGTTCCGTGGTGATACAGCAGTGGCCGAAAGGAGAGCTCAATTGTTTACCACTTATTGGTGGGGCTGAGGTGGGCGTGGCGGTGTGAATATTGTGCCATGTACACCTATCGAGACAGTCATCATTCGATGTTCAACGACCCTGGACAGGCATATACTCCACACCGCGGCGCACATAAGCAAATACCGGTATAGTAATTTACAGTAGTTAGTTTTTTTGCAATATCCATATCAATGGAGGGGGTAACAGAGAACAGTATGGTTCTACGTTTGTGAAAATGCTGACAGTTGAGAACGAGCCTTAACAAAGCAAAAGCTTCCCCCTAGATAGTTCCATGGATCAATCATTAACAAGAAAATTTACTGTACTATATTAAACTAGTGTTGTTTGTGTGTCTAATGTTTGATGTAATTATTATAGTTTGTATGACTAGACTACGGCCTAGGTCGTGCCAGTAACTACATACCACACTGTACTATGCTAGGCTATCCTACTACAGGGAAGACAGTGTTTGGTAACAAACCTAATTAATGCCACTTCTAATATCACCACTTCCAAGACTTCCTAATCCAAACCAGCAAACAGATCTTTTTGAAAGATTCATTCTTCAAAAATGCAGTCGACTTA